GGGACAGGTAAGCTCCAAGATGCTACCTGCCTTGTCCACAAAGGAATGGACTTCACTCTATAGGGAAAAGCCCTTCTGAAGCCCTGTCAGAGGCCCTGAGGAGAGAGTGGGTGGAACGGTGGAAAAGCCACCACAAAATCTGAGGCAGGAAATCAAGCAGAAAAATTAACATCAGGAGGGAAAAAAAGTGCTCCTTTTACTGACTCTGTAACTGGCAAAGAAAGGAGCTATTTGTTTTCCTAGTATTCTATTTCTTATTTTTCAAAAAGTCAATCTGGTTATGTGCTGTGGAGGAACTATATATATATATATATATATATATTTAGTTATATATATAATGTCTATACATATGTTTATATATATATAATGTATATATGTGTTTTTTTGCTTAGACAGTTTATTCCCCAAAGGACAAAAAAATCCTTCAACTGTAAAATACCAACTCTGAATTAGGAAAATGGTTTATAGTAGTTATAATTATTGTGCACAGACTCTTGACATTTTTCTCTGTGCTGTTTCTTTCATGACTGTATGATGGCCGCATCATATGGAAATACAAGTGGTTGAGACATATGTACTACCACTACTTTGTAATTAACAGATTTGCTATAAATGTTTGCATCGATCGCTTGAGCACATAATTTCTTCAGATGCGTGTGCATGAGGGATTTTATGTATTCCCAAAAGGAGGCTGTCAGTTTAAGGGTAGGATTGGTTTTGCAGCACTTTTTTTTTGTTGTTCACTATTCATCATGGATTTTTACAAAGATTTTTTTTTTCATTTTCTAAAATTAAAAAAATGGATGCTTAATCTTGTCAGTTGCCTTTCTGCTATCTATTGGTAGGAGCATGAGGGCTTTTTTTCTTTACTGCTTTCCTAATTAACATGGCACATTTTGGTTCTGTTGTTCTTAAACTAGTCCTGCGTTCCTAAATAAACCGAATTCGGTCAGTCACAGTGAACAGTTCTTTGGGGACGCTGCTCGTCTCTAACTGCTACCTCTTTAGTTGGGAAATTTGAAGATCGTACCATCTTGGCCCATTTGTATCACACAGAAAATGAGCTCCTCCAAGTTTCAATTTTTTTTTTCCAAGTAATTTCTTTGAATCTAGCTGTTTTAAAGGAGAAGAGAGAACTTCTTGTTTTGTTGTTTTTCTTTTATCACATTAATTACATCAATAGAATACTGATTTTGTTAATCTCTTAAAAGAACCAAATCTTGATTTTTATTTATGGGTTTTAAGGCTTTCTTATTAACACTTTTTTCATGACCATCTTTATTATTGAATTTCTTCTTTTCAGTTTGTTGCTTTGTTCTTTTTCTAGATAATTACACATTCTTCCTTGTGTAAGTACTCAGAATAAGATTTCTTAAAACTTTGACCCTGCATATAAGGCATCATTTAATAAGGTCTCTAATGTGTTCTCTGTATTTTATGATATTCTATATATTTTCTAATTCATTTGCTACTTAGAGTTTATCAGTTTGATGTTAATTATATATTCGACATTTCCTTAATAGGTAATATGTATACATGGTAAGAAATTCAAATTCAAAGGGAGAAGTAAGTCTCCCTTCCACGTTATGCCCAGTCCTCCAAGCCTCCCTCCTTAGAGGTGACTCCTGAGTAAACTTCTGGAGAGATTCGTTTATACGAAGACACTCAGGAAACCCATGACAACACATTATAATGCCCTGTTCTGAGCCTTATGTATAAGCCTTTGGAAGAGAATTGGTCACCATTTAAAAGTGGCTTAGTACTTTTTCAACGATATATTTTTAGGTCCAATGTCATTTCACTATGAGCTATACAGGTAGTTCTAGAAATTTCTACCTGAGTTTAGTAGAACTTACATATGACATGGCAAATCATCAGCTTTACGTTGAAGTCACATAAAACTTTCTAAAAAGTACTTCCCTCGCTTTACATTAAATTTTCTTCCAAATTCCTATTAATTGTATTAGTTAAAACATTTTTTTCTTGGTATGTTTACTCTTTTATGATGGTGGAATTATTTTCCATCAAAATTATATCCCTTTCCATTTCCATGGATACACACATCTATGAGTACACGGTAGGTCCTTCAATTTACATGAATCCAGCAAGGTCCCAAATTATCAAAAGGACAATTGAGGTTTTTTATTTGAAAACAACTCAATAAAAGGTATGATATATTTGTTTTGTTATTTAAGACATGCAGAGCCAATAAACTTTTGTGTTGTACTGTTTTTATTGCTGTCCTTACTGATTCTCCCCCAATACATTTTAGTTAAAAAACCTAACTTTTTCAGATAAAACTTTAGGTGGCAGCCTTTTTATACTTATGGAGTGGGAGGTATGTGCCCAGTAACTTCAAGAATCATTCTTTTAATTAAACGTAAACGGCTTACTTCGAATAAATTCGATCTTATTTCATTTAGAGTTTAAACTCAAGAGCGATGGGTTTCTATTTATAATTACATTCCAAACATCAATGACTTAATAGAAGAATTTTTTTCCGGTGTCTACAAAAGAGGGCTGCTCACTGGCTTCGGGGCCAGGAACGGAAGGCACATACCGCAGCTCGTTTCTGATTTAATGCTCTAGCAGACAGGGAAACATGCCCAATAACCTGGCACCAATTTCCCCAGCTGGGCTAGCGACATCTCAGAGAGGTACATACTTTGTAAAAGGTAACAGCTGTGCTGGATTGACAGGGATCATCCTACTTCATTTTCTTATACTCCGGGTACCTTGGGTAATTGGCTGGCCTACAAGAACCTAATTTTCATTGAACTCCATAATTCAAATACCTCCATAAATCCTCTTAATCCAATACATACACTATTTATTAAAAAAAATTTCCAAGACATCATCAGTTCAACAACTCAAAAAAAAAAAAAAAAAAAAAAAAAAAGGTCCCATTTCTATAAATACTTAACATGACACAGGGATTCAAATACAGGTAACAAACACACAAATCCTTTATCAAAAATTGCCTTAAAGGGGCACCTGGGTGGCTCAGTGGGTTAAAGCCTCTGCCTTCGGCTCAGGTCATGATCCTAGGGTTCTGGGATCGAGGCCCGAATCGGGCTCTTTGTTCAGCAGGGAGCCTGGTTCCCATCCTCTCTCTCTCTCTACTTTTGATCTCTGTCAAATAAATAAATAAAATCTCAAAAAAAAAAAAAATCGCCTTAAAGATTTACTTGTAAATGAATGGGGAGTATGAAGTCCCTCTTCCACAAAATCTCTTTTTAGATCTTTCAGCCAGGAAACAGCTTTGTTATACACCAACAGAACATTCCCGAATCACACTTCATACAGGCTAACTACATAAAAATCGACAACTGAAAGACACATAGTTTCTAATATTACTCCTGAAATTCACCATGTCAATCCTCTAAGTCTTCCTAAGCAAAGTGTAATCCAAAATTTAGTGTAAGTCCAAGTTTCTCTAGGCTTAAGGAATATTCCCATCTCGCTTTTAGAAGAAGCACCAATGTTTAATTCTTTTGCTATAGTACATTAACTCCCTGAAGCCCCTTCAGAGGTTCAAGTATGTGTATCTCCAGAGAAAAAGAAAACAAACAAACAACGCAGGACTGAATGAGACTAAAGTTAATAATACAAAAATCAGGGTATTGAATTAGAAAACCTGCCAAGAGATGTCTCCACAAAAGAATGTATGAAAGTGGCAGGTGACTAGTTAACACGCAGTTTTTTTCTATAGTTTCTTCTTTCCTCCTCCAGACATCACGATAACATCCAAACAGGGACATGAGCACAACACTTTGTAGAGTTTCCCTCATCTGGACATCCGATAAGAGTTGCTTTCAAATAAAAAGAACTTCTTTAATTATCCTTCAGATAACTGGGACTTTGCTGAATTCACATAAATTATAGGCCCTACCAAGTCATCAATATACTGTTTTTTTTTTTTAAGATTTTTATTTATTTATTTGACAGAGATCACAAGTAGGCAGAGAGGTAGGCAGAGAGAAAAGGGGAAGCAGGCTCCCTGCTGAGCAGAGAGCCCGATGTGGGGCTCAATCCCAGGACCCTGAGATCATGATCTGAGCCAAAGGCAGAGGCTTAACCCACTGAGCCACCCAGGCACCCCATCAATATACTTTTCTAATAATCCCTCTAATTCATACCTAGGAAATCACCAGAAAGTAGGAGAATGCTTAAGGGGCTAGGACTCTTTTACAGGAAGTCGGTCTTTACTCGGTATAAGTAATTCTTCAGTAAGGAGGCACAAGCAGTCAATAAAACCAACACTTCATCCATTGTACAGCTTGGTTTCCATATCAATGACGGTGTTCTATCCAATGAAACCGGAATAGAATAAGGGCCTCCCCCAACTCAAGCACCAAAACCCTCAAGGACGGTCCAGAATGGATGGACCTTCTCACCTGATAGAGTGGATTATGTTATTACTGAAAAGGAACGAAGTTTCCATTGCCATGAGAGGCCGTGATGATTACATTAGTTCCTCTGTAGAACAGCCTGGTTAGTAACCAGGAATAAAAACAGTAATAAATGGATTAATTTGATGTTGTTAAGGGAAGAGATAGTATGTTACCTCTAGGAAGCTGTAGACGACCAAGTCCTAATGAAGAGTGGAAAAAAGAAAAAGATGATAAGAGAGACCCCAGGAACTCACGACACTTAAATTTCAAATACCCAATCAAGACTTGGGTGTGTACAGGGAATTCTCCACTCTCTTCAAAAAAATATAAACAACCGAATTCACCCTCTTCACATGAATGCCTCCATGCTTCAGCAACCAGTCAGTGCCCTTCAGTATTGGAAACTGAAGTAACTAATGACATTGCTTTACGCTGAAATTATTTTACAGAGAGGAAAACAGGGGGAGGAAATCCTCCCACGTATCAGGCGACCCCGGAAGTTAGGTATGTGAACCTGGACACCCGTTCACCTACAGAAAAGTCTCCTAAGAACCGGAAGGACGGGTACGCAGTGAGATCAAACAATGATTGAATAATTCTTCTGACCTGCAAAATGAGAACGAAGTAGTCTACAGGTTTGTTTCGCTGGTAGAGGTAGTATTCTGGGGCCTTCTTGTTCTTCTCATCATACTTCAGTTCCTGGATGACATTGGGGTGCTTTAGCAGCCTTAGAAGGATCTTCTCTGACATCTGGGATGGGCTAAATGCTTCTACTTCTATAGATATAAACACAACTTGATATTACACTTCAAATGGATGGAAAAAAAAATCATACTAGTGATTAAGGAGTTTAGAATACAATAATATTCGGAACCAAAGCAATACAATATGGATTAAAGACACTTCCGTTTGGTGATCCACTGGGGGGGAGGTTACCTGGGAGAAATTAGAAAATACCAACGTCTCGTATTTGTTTAAGTATTTCCTTTTCAACCTGAAAAGGTTTCAGTTCTTAGAAAATAACCCTAATTTTCTGATACAAATCGAAGTCTACCAGAAGCAGGCTCCTGACTGCCAGGACACCCTTTGACAGGCCACCATAATCTGACCGTCCAACAACAGCCGAAGGAAGAAGCAAAGGTCAGGAAGCATCTAGGTGTGAGTTAGTACCAGGTGCCCAGACGAAAGGCTCCACCTCTCCTTCTCCCACTCCACTACCCTGAGAGAGTCTGGGAACAAAGGCAGGCGGAGATTCAGAAGAGAAGCAAGGCACGTGCACACAGCGACATGCACTCCAACTTGCTAACTAAAAAAAATTAAAAAAAAAAAAAATGTGTATCTGTATCGGCAAAAGGAATCCAATTTTATTTCCGGTACCCAAACTCAGAATTACTGGCTTAGGGCTGCTTGATTGAAACTGGACTTCCCGGCATCTCAGAGGCAGAGTCGGACAACATTTAAAGTATGGTTCTGCAATGATGAACATCATTACCAGAATTTGAAAATTAAGTTAAAGATACGGTTTATATGTTTAAAAAACTGCTGTCATGAGGTGAACCATGAATTCGGTATTAGCTTCTGTACTAGCTTTCGTAATAACGAAATGAGGTGGTACCCTGTAGAAGTTCTGGAAAATACAGAAGATAAAAGAGGAAAAGAAAATCACCTAGGAACCCACCACGCCGTCCCTCTCAGCAGCTGGTGAGCACATGTGCCTGTGTGATCTCACAGTTTTATTTTTTTTTTTCTCACCTCAAATTAAATTATGAATAACTTCCCGGCTCATAAATATTATACTCTGAGCATTTCTAGGTATCTGAAAACAGGGTCTTAAAGAGTATATAACATCCACTGCATGGCTACTGTTAGCCTTCTTTTTGAAATACTTTAAGTATGCTCCATACAGCTGAAGGGCACTGGTCGCCCATCTTGGACACAGACGTCTTCTACAGGCCACTGGGTACTTTCAGATTTTCTCACGTTTCCCCTGGCCCACAGAGCTCACCCTTCACCTAGACAGCCACTTGGGGATGTGAGAAGGGTTAGTCAGTCTCTTAAGTCCATTCAACCTTGACCTTTCTGGAGCAGTCAGTGCCGGCTGGATTGGTGGTTTTAATAATGTGAACGCTTGCCTCCTGGAATGGGCCCAAGTTAATCTGACTTGAAGAGGCCACCGAGAAATCCACGTCAAAGCGCTTAGAATTTCTGATGTCACGGACATCCTAAGAGATAGATTTAATTCTGAGAATCTATTTTTTCTTCTTTGCAAATCAGAGCACCCGTGTTACCACTGAGGTCCGGCTGTTCTTCCAAGGCAAGCTTGAGCGAGAATTACTCCAGGAGGTGGTGTCTGGTCTGCACGGCCAGCCTACGCCACCAGCGGGCTCTCCCCGGGACTGAGCTGGAAGCAGATGACCTGACCTACTGTTCACATGCAGTGTGCCACTAACATTCATCCTTACCTTTCAGACCAATTTTAAGTTACTGGTCCACCCCTGGTAAATGTCTCAGAGGGTTCATGCCGACACTGAACACAGGAGAGGAGAGAATTTAAAAAGAAAAAAACAAAACAAAACAAAACAAAACAAAAAAACAAAAAACAAAACACAAAAGTGGCATTACTTATCACCCCATTTCCCCGTCCCCACCCCCAGCCCACCCCAGTCAGCGGTGGGTGAGAAACACGGTCCAGGGTTCGGAGAGATCGCAAACTGTGATAAGCTGCACTTGCCTGTTGCTAGGAAACGGTGCATGGCCAGGAGAAGCTGTGGTGATATTTTAACCTTCATCTCGCTGTCTGTCTGCTTAAAGGCAGAAAAATCTTGCTTTCTTTCCCGATGGGCCACTTTCTTTTTCGTTCTGTTATCAGCTGACCGAAGAACGAGAAAAGATAAAAGGAAATGCATTCGATTACATCAGGGCTCTTTTTGAATGAAAAGGACACAATCCACTGGAAAGGCTAGACTACCTCCAGATCGCCGGCACTCTAGGCACCAAGGCCCCACAGAAAGAGGAGGAGAGAGAAGCCTCCGCAAATCAGTGCAGCACAGTCATGACCCAATCCAAAGTAAGGCAACTAGGACCAACGGTAAACATTCTCCACAAAGATCTTTAGAGCCCTTGCGAGTACACGACAGGGTAGCGGGGACAAAACCCTCACACAAGCCATGTAACCCCACAGTGATGGCATGCATCTCAGGGCCTACACAGTCTCCTGTCACTCGGTGTCACCACACTGCGGGGAAGAACAATCACCGGGTGACAGAAGACACAGGGAAGGGTGCCCTGCCTTGCAGAGGCTTTTAGCCTCTGCCGAAACAGGGAAAACAAACATCTGAACAAAACCTCTTCAGAAACAGAAAAGAATGCTTTCATAGAACATTTTAACAATAATATCTGTTAGCTTCATTTCTACCCCAGGCCCGGAGATCCTCAAGGTCAAGCAAATACAAAGAAGGTCAACCAGAAGAGAGGTCGGCATACTTCCTCTGTCGAGGGCTAGGTAGTATTTCAGGCTCTGGGGGCCACACGGTGTCTGTTGGAACCGCTCAACCCTACTGCTGAACAAAAGCAACCATATGTGAAAGAGCTAATAGGGCATGTGCCAACAAAACTTTATTATGGAGATGAAATTCGAATTTCACAGTATTTTCCCATGTCTCTAAGTAATTATTCTTTTCATGTTTTCAACGATTACCCAATGTAAAAAACAAACAAAAATTCTCAGCTTGTGGGCTCTCCAAACACTGGCGGCCACTGTGGGCTGTAGTTTGTTGTTGTTGTTGTTTTGCAAACCCCTGATCTAGACGGTGTCTAATACAAAACCCTTTTCCAGTATTTTTCTTGACAGAGAAAGGATCAAGAAAAAACTTGGTTAAAGACAAGACCTTAATCGCTCACTCCTTTCCCAAGAACCATGAGTCTGTGCGCTATTACCATTTCATGCCTGGGGCCAAGCAGACTTAATTACCAGGCTGGTCCTAGGGTGAGGGCAATTGTAACTTATCATTTTCTTCTGTCTCTAATTCTTTTCAGAATCAGACAGCATAAAATCAACACTATATTTCCAAATAATTTTCTAATGGCAAATATAGTCCTCAGCCCTGATCGCCTGTCGACCTCACGGATATCCCTAAAACCATGTGGTCAGCATTCCATCCAGCCAGGCAGGCTGGGCAACACTTCTGTGTGAAATCAGTTTAATCGAGGTTTAAGAGACTGTAACTGGAAAGCAAACATAAGATCTCCTAAGTGCTTTAGTTATCTTTCTTATGATGAGTACCACCCCCGAAGAAACAAACAAAAAATCTCTCTCTATATATATATAGATATATAAAGAGGCACACTTGGTATTAAATGGTCACTGTAAGGAAGGATGAAAAGACTGTCAACACACAAGTAACAATATGCTTTATTATGTGATCTCGGACTACTCTCCAAGTGTCAAGAAGATAAAACACATAGGAAATGGTGATTTTAAAGAACGCACTAATATATATACATGAGAAAAAAGTAAGACACATTTTCAGAAGCAAGTCATTTCCTAAATATCAAGTTTATCCTTCCAAGGGTACACGGAAGACTCTCATTATTAAAATGAGGAACATTCCCATCTAGCAGGACTAAATAAAAATCACTCTGTTTTAAGCTAGGCAGGCCCCATCCCAGGTGCCCTAGGCCATGTGAACAATCCATTTCCCTTTTAAGTCATGCTTTAATAAGCCAAACAGAACAAACAGAGCCCAGATACTCTTCTCTGGCCCACCTCTGAGAGCCCCAAACATCTCCAGGCAAAAACGCCCCTGTCTCATTATTAATCTCTTGAAAGAGATTACTAAGATTCTACTAAGAATGAGGCTGAAGAAGAAGGTTTAAACCCCACAGTCCAACAATCCAGTTGAGGACTTCAGTGAGACAGGGTTCCGCTTCAATTCTCAGCCCAGGATTGTTTACCTCACACGCAAAGACCAGCGGATCTTCCCCTCCCTCTACAAACAAGCCAAGAGACTCCTACCCCCTTCACCCATTTCCCCCTGCCCCCCCAAAGAAGATAGAGTAGCACAGAAAGGGAAAAACACATTCCTATTGGGTACCCTACCCTGTCCTGCTTCCCGTCCCTCCCAGTCACCACTCCTTGCCACAGCAAAGCTACACTCACAGACCTCACCTCTACCCTGGCCCCTGGGTTCTAGAACAAGGACATTTAAATGGTGGCAATCCATCCATTTAACAAATCCTCCTCACAAGCACTTGAATTTGAACCTTAAGTAGAAAAAGAAATTTATCTGAACACAACTGCCTAGCTGTGGAAAATAAAAATGTAGTGAAGAGTGATTCTTTTACCACACCTACAATAAAAGTAAAAACCAAGAAGGGAGTTTTCTGTTCCGGGCAAGTAATGCCCTCATCCCTTGTTAGAAGAAGTTGGCTTTTCAAAAAAAAGACAAAAACAAAAATGAAATACTGCCACTCGACACCACAGGCCCTGCCTCTCCTTTCCCCCCTCTGATGAAGGTTCTGGAACACACTGCCTAGTGGTCCACAGCCTACACATACACACAGCACGTAATGAGAGAGCAGAGGCAAGTGGCCACTGGAAACGAGAGAGGACTCACGAACGAGATGACAGAAAACAGCCAAGGTTTTGAAAAAAATCACACTCCGACTACTCACTGTATAAATCTGTTTCGTCTAGAATCTCGGATTTGATGATTTCTTCAATCACGTCTTCTAATGTGACGATTCCCAGAACTTCATAAAACGGGTCCCCTTCTCCCTCATTGTTCACTCGTTGCACAATGGCCAAATGAGATTTACCTTTAAAGAAAAGAAAACAAAGTTGAGGAAGCAATTCTCTGAATCTCCGGAAGGAAGTCTGGCACGGGATCATGTTAAGAACAGAGGCGAATGCAGAGACCGGATGATCCAAGTCTGCATTTCGGCGTTTAAACACGGGGTGGAAATGGCACAGGCAAATGGAAAAGTTTCCCGAGTCATCGAAAGCAAGACGACTGAGCAGGAAGAGCCTCGGCTTCTACACACGTCAGCCTGCGCCCCATTACCATTCGCTTCCTCATGGGGTGGGTCTTCAATCATGTCGGCCCTTCCTCTGTGACCTTATAGCAACTGCTATTTTTTTTTTTTTTATTTTTTTTAGGAGAATGGTTCTCCCAAGTGTGGTCTGTGGACCCTTAGGGATGCCCAAGACCCTCTTAGGAGGGCAGCGAGGTCAGACGATTTCCAGTGGAACACTAAACGTTCCCGGCCTTTTGCACTGTGCTGGGGTTTGAGCCCATCAGGCAAAGCTGCCCGAGCACAAAGCGAGGCAGTGGGGGCAGACCAGGTTCTCTGCCACCGCACATGCACAGGAAATGGGGGGAAAATCCATTTCTCTTCAGAACGTCCCTGGTGAAGATGTAAAAATTAATTTCGTTAAATCTTGACCTTGAGTACTTGTCCTTTAATACTTTATGTGGCAAAAGGAGACCCATCTTAAAACACTTGAGTCGCATCCTGAGGTATAATTGCTGTCTGAGGAAAGGCACTTACACAACTGTTTGCACGGGCAGGTTGCACTAGCCACGTTTTTCACTGGACGTCATCTTTATCTGAAGGGAAGTACCCAATGGATGGTGTTTAGACTTGTATATCTGGCAAATATTTCCTTGAAAACGGACAAAATGAGCCTGCAACGTTAAGGAAAACAGCAGCAGCATTTGCTAGTGATAAAATTTGAGCTTTCACAGGAAAATCGGGATTTGGGTAAACTTGTGTCCACCACAGGCTTGAGAACTTCTCGACAAGCAGTTTTCTGATGAAGTAACGAGTGGGATTTTTAAAATACTGAATAACGAAATGGGTCAACATTTCAAAGATCTACAGGACTCTGTGAACCAGTATTTTCCCAATGGCCATGGGAATGGTGCTACCAAGTCATGCACAGGTAAACAATCTATTCAGAGTACAAGACAGAACAACAGATTCTCTTTCCTCTCATACCCAATTTTTATATTTTTTAAAAGATGCGTTTATTTAAATTCCAGTTATTTAACAGACTGGGTAACATTAGTGTCAAGTGTACGATTTAGTGATTCAACAACTCCATGCAACACCCAGTGCTCATTGCCACAAGTGCCCTCCTTCATCCCGGTCACCTGTTTCCCCCATCTTCCCGCTCACCCCCCTCTGATCACCATCAGTTTGTTCTCTACAGTTAGAGTCTGCTGCTTGGTTATACCAATGGATTTCTTTTCCCTTTTTTTTTTTTTTAAAGATATTTATTTATTTATTTATTTGACAGATCACAGGTAGGCAGAGAGGGGAGGGGGGAAGCAGGCTCCCCGCCGAGCAGAGAGCCTGATGCGGGATTCGATTCCAGGACCCCGAGATCATGACCTGAGCTGAAGGCAGAGGCTTAACCCACTGAGCCACCCAGGTACCCCTAGACCAATGGATTTCTTAAAATAAGGTATTTATTTTGGAATAATTTTAGATTGACAGAAAAGCTGTAAAGACAGTGCAGAACGCCTGTGGAGCCTTTCCTCAGTTGCCCCCATTGTCAACACCCTGCATTACCACAACATATTTGTAAAACTAAGAAATTGACAATTGATACAGTAAATTCCAGACTTATTTGGGATTTCACCAGTTTTTCCATTAACTCTCTCTTTCTGTTCTAATATCCAGTCCAGAGTACCACACTGTATTCAGGTGTCCTGTCTCCTCTGGCATCTGACAGTTTCTTAGTCTTTGCTTGTTTTTTTATGACCTCGACAATCAAGGAGTACTGGTCAGGAATCCTGTAGAATGTCCTTTGATTTGGGTTTGTCTGATGTTTTCTCGTGATTAGACTGGGGTTCTGGGTTTTCTAGTTACATCACATCAGGGCTTTCTCGACAGCCACGTGACATTCCGAGTTTCTCCACTGTCCGGTTACTCATTTTTCTTTTTTCTCCAATTCTATCCCTTGGAAGCTGGTCATGAAGTCCAACCCACCCTCACGGAGTGGGGAGGGGTAGAAATGAAGCTCTCCTTCCTGGATTGGGAGAGTATCGACATATAGTATGCAGAATTTTTCTATAAGGAAGATTTCAGACCAAAGGATTTCAATTTAACAGTGTGCCCAAAGTCCACTGGAATAGTTTCAGATTCCACATGACAACTAACCTTTGAAAAACTACCACTTGTGGAGTTTTGGTAGAGTATCAAAGGAAGATATTCCCAATCCCCCAAAATGGTTGTTCAAATACCCTGTCCCTTTCCAAATACATATCTGTGGGAGCTCAGATTTTCCTCCTCTATTTCAACTAAAACATATACTGCACAGACTGAATGCAGAAGATGACAGATGGGCTGTTATTTTTGTTTTGGAAAAGTTATTTTTAATAAAAATGTTATTTATGTTAATATAGTATATCTATTACTGTCCTTCAAAAATTAATTATCCAAAAATGAATTAAGGTGTTTTATATTACTCCACTTTAATTTCAAATACAGTGACTATCAAAAGACAGAACCCACACAAAAAACGTTCAAGAGTCCTCAGTAATTCTTAAGAGCTTAAAGAGATCTGAAGACAAAGTTTTCGTTTTTTTTTTAAGATTTTATTTATTTATTTGACAGAGACAGGGAGAGAGAGGGAATGTAAGCAGGGAGAGTGGGAGAGGGACAACCAGGCTTCCTGCTGAGCAGGGAGCCCGATGCGGGGCTCGATCCCAGGACCCTGGGATCATAACCTGAGCCAAAGGCAGACACCCAACAACTGAGCCACCCAGGCAGCCCTGAAGACAAGAAAGTTTAAGAACAGCAGCCAGAGGAGACGGCCAGAAGGGTAAGGGAGGAGCAGGTGCCCCAGAGCTGAACAGTCCTAGATTGGAATCCCAGCATGGGCCCTTCCTCGCCATTACTAGCTGTGTGATCACGAGCAAATTACAGAACTTTCCTGGGCCTCAGTCTCCTCATCTCTTAAAACCAGGCTCATAATTACTGCTGCCACACACGATTGCCCTGAACATCAGAGATCGTGTTGGGACCAGCAAGGACAGTGGCTGGGAGTCCCTAAGCGATCAGTAAATGGGAACTCTCACTCTCTTTTTAACATTCTTCCTCAGTTCTAAGACACCATCAACTTACTACCAGCTTATTCAGAGACAAGAAAACCCTCTATATTAAAAGTACACCATGATTAAAAGATGCATTTCCCTTTCAGAAAAAAAATCTTTTAAGATAATAATGCATCTCTCAAATACTAATATTGGTTTTCCTAATCCAAGGCATGTGAGGCATCCGAAACAGGTCCTTTACTTAAGCCAAGAAGACATGATCTGGAAATTTCATGCTCTGTTAACATGTGTACTACTTTCTTTAATGACAGGGTGGGGATTATTTGGAGTGGGGGATGGCAGGGGGGTGTTACTTAAATAAAGTTTACCTAAAACTTCAAATCAGGTGAGATGACTCAAACACAACCAGCTAGACAAACTGAAAATATTCTCTGGGGGGTCAGAATGTGATCAAGTTCCCAGCACTTACTCAGAAACTGGCTCTGGTTTTGTAGGTTTGTGGGTCCTTTCCTGCTCTGCTTCAGACCCCTTTACAGGCATCAGGGAAGCCTAGAAGCTTAGACTGTTAGACAATTAGGCATCTTAACAATTTTCATCCTTAGCGTGCTCATGCTCAAAGAATGAAAATATTTTGAGCAAATGAGACGAGGAGGGAAACTTATCAGCAATAGATATAAACACACATCAGGTCACGTCACTGCTACCCTGGTCCATTCAGGCCGGTCACTTTCTCACATCTGCTTTCCCAAGGACCCAAACATAAGCAGTTAAAAATTCTTGGTGAATGCTGTCTGTCGAAAGTTAAATTCTTTTGCTATTCCCAGCTTGTGATCATTTAAAAGGAATTTTCCAAAGCAAGGTCTAATATTAGACTCAAAATGAAGTTTCCATTCCACTGAGGCACTATTCTCACCAAAGTAACTACCGCATAATCAGATTGTCTTGGAGCGATTCGTTTAAATGCAGATGGACATACTTGAAATACCAGCTCGAAGGCACCAACAGATCTGAGTGGAAAGGGCCATACTGGACGAGAAACTATTCGTGTGAGTTAGGTTTCGTAGACCGAAAAATCACTAAGTTTTCTTCCAAGCTCACCTGTAGGCTTTCATCCCTCTACTTCCAGTGTTGAAACTCCTGCAGCTGCCCCAGAGGCACATTCTTTTAGCTTTGCAATTCCTGGTGAGAAGTCCTGTTTTCTGAACTTTTTTCCAGGTAAGCAATACAACAAAACAAAACAAAACAAAAACGTTCCTCCTGTCGGATCACGAGCCTGTATCCCCCCATTTAACCATTTGCCACAAGGAATGTGGTCTTCAATTTCAGCCACGGAGCAATCCAAAAGAAAAGGTAAACTTGTCGATGGGAGAAATTTTAAATAACTGAGTTCAAATAACATACTTTTTAACCTGAGTGTGGGGAGAATTAAGTCAGGATTAACAGCAGAAAAGCAACTTTGGGGAAACTCATGAAAGCTGAAGTCAAAAACTAGAAAAGATTATGAACTAATGGATACTTTAGCTTCCAAAGAGATGAAAATAAGCCATCAGCAAAATATGTAATTACAGGCATTAAATAACACTAGGACTTTTTAATATCGATAGATTAAATGAACTCAATAAAGTGTGTGTGTAACAAAGCATACACGGCTGTCACTATTAGGACCTGGAGAGAACCCTTTCTGGTGAGCTGGAAGGGATCTTGTGGTGTTCCAGTCGCTTCGAACCATCCTGAAAGTTAAACCCCTAGCCTCTC